CCCCAGCCCTGGGGTACTTTTTTTAAATGAAGTTCAGGGTTTTTTTTTCCAGACAATCCCAGGAAAGACAACACACCCTTTCATCAGGTGTATGTCAACCTTTCACTTGTGATAGTAATCTTGATCACTTCAAGTGTGTCTTCCAGGTTTGTTCCTTGCAAAGTCGCTCTTTTAGGAGTTATTCTGAGGGCAGATAGCTTATTTTGCAAACTTCCACCCACTCATTTTAAGCATTGATCAGCTGTGGCTCATGCCTGAAACAGTTAATGACATTAAAAAGACCAAGGTATAGTGACAAGAAAACAGGATCTGCTCTAACATATTATAAATTATGACAATTAAATGTAATATTGGATCTTGCATCAAACCCTGAAACTGGGACACCAGCAGGAAAACTGGTAAAATGTGAAATTAGGTCAATAGTTGCCATGGTTATGTAAGTTTTTAAAAACACTGACTGAAATTGGGTGAAGAATCAGAACTATTTAAAACATTTTTATGTCTAAAACTACTCTGAAGCAAAATCAAAAATATTTCTTAAAAATTATAAATAGTAAAATGTTCTTGCAGGACTTTATAGACAGGCCTTTGTTGCCTGGGGTGGTATTTTGGGTTTTTTTGGTGGAACCAGGGATTGAACTCAGGCCCTTGCACTTGCCAGGCAAGTGCTTATTGTACTGAGCCATCTCCTCGGCCCCCGGGGTGGTATTGAACTAGGAATAATTGATCTTCCTGCCTCAGCCTCCGAATTACTGAATACAGCCATGATGCCACAATGCCTAACTTCAATGATGCATTTTAATGTGCCAAATGTATTAAACTCCCAACATAGAGAAACCTAAACTAATACAATGTTTAAGTCTAGAGGGCTGGAAAGATAGCTCAGCAGTCTAAAACACCGGTTTAGGCAAGCTTAGGCAAAATGCAGGGACTGCAGTTTAATCCTCGGCACCACATGCTGCGCCAGCCCCACCAGGACTGAGCCAGCCACAAAAATAATTTTTTTTTTGCGAAACTAGGGATTGAACTCAGGTCCTTGCACTTGCCAGGCAAGCACTTATTCTACTGAGTCATCTCCCCAGCCCCATAAATAAAATTTTGAAACATCTTTCCCTAGTTAACATATACAGCGAAGACTGCTAAAAACTGGGTTATTCAATGAACAGTATGAAATTACCACTTCAAGTATTACATGAAAACAAAAAATATTCTGCAGTTGAAGGTCATAAATGAAAAAATGAGTTTTATTTTGAACCTAGCACACTGACAAAGCCAAGATAGAATCCAGTATCGCAGTACTGTGGGAAAACAGGGTCCCATAAATTTGGGCATGAATATAACTTTGAAGAGCAAGCAGTGCAAAAATCTAAACTATATTTGTTTTTATAATGGACTCTTTTTATGTACCTGGTACAGGGTCTCGCTATGCACTTGGACTCACAGTAATCCTC